TGCTCTAGGTGCTCGCTGGTCCAGTATTCGCCACGTTGCTCGCGATAGCGACGATGCGCTACGAGCCGCTGCGTGGTCCTGCAATCCGCGAGATACTGCGCCAATAACTCCTTTTTCACCTCCTCGGCCGAGACACCCTTCTGCAGCTGCTCCAGGACATACTCCCCGCATACGTGGCTGTGTATCTCCTCAGCATTCTCCAGTATTGCCAGCTGCTGGGAGGGCGCCTTCAGCCACTTCTCCAGGGCGAACCAATGTGCAAATACCCCGGTCTCCGCGCGATACTTGTCCACCAGCGCTCGCCCCCTCAAGCCTTCTACGTGATACCAGTACTGGAGGTCCCTGCGCGACAACGCGTAGACGGCGCAATTGCCATGTTTGGCACCGTCTCCGAGTCGATACTTGCCGAGCCACTCTCGCAAGGCATATGGACCCGCCTCATACCCCCAGGCCTTCAGACGCACCTGCATATTCGGGTAAGTGAGGCCAAGGCCCAAGTCGGAGACCTGCTCTCGATACCGCTTGCCGCATGCCGCCTCTACAGCATCCCCCGTCAGCAGCTTTATACAAACCACATCTGTGGAGGAAGAAGCTGCCGTGGCCTGCTGCTTCGATACGGGCTCCTCCCAGTCGACCGCGGCAGGCCGTTTGGCCACGCGGGCAGATCCGGCGGCGGCTGGCCGTTTCAATACCCCGCCTGCGACCCGCGCCGCCGGGCGCTTCAATGCACGCCTGGTGACGGCCTGGGCGGATGAAGCCGTCGCCTGCACTGAAGAGCTCACCGACGCATACGCATCGCACCACTGTCTCAACACTCCTCGGGACACCAAGACAGCTTTCCGTCGCATACGCAACGCGGCATGCAAGGTGTGGTACTTCAGCCCTGGATATACCGCGCGCATGTGGTCACCAAGTGCCGCGTCGAGCTTTTCAGCCGTGTCATACTGCAAAGGTCCGGAGTCAGGGTGATACTTCACGTACCATTGCCTCAAAACCATACCGCTGACAGCGACGGGAGGGTCGCTCTCCGAGAGAATCTGCGAGAGGACCTCCGCGGCGGCCTCGTCGGCGAAGCTCTCCCGATACTGATTGAGTCGAAGACGCTGGCCTATACATTCCTCCACAGCTTGGGCAGTATTCAATGCTCCCTTGGCGCCCCACTCCGTGCTGAGCCACTTCTGACATACCCTGGCGTCAGCAGATACAGATAAATGTCCCAGGAGCCACTGCTTCAAGACGGCCCCGTCAGTAGTCCCCTCGGGCATGTCTGTGCGAATACGTTCTCCATACCAGGTCTCCAGATGGCCAGCGTTCTGCACTTTGACAAGCGTCTCTTTGGAAGAATACTGCAGTAGCCACATCTTTGCGACCTGATCTGTCACATACAGTGGTGGATCCAACTGTCGGAGCGCCCCGCATAATTTGAAAGGTGTATTATACTCGATGCCCAGGTGGCGGATGGCAGAACCGTGCTGCTCCTCCAGCTCCTGGGCGCTAGAAATACTAACCTTGCCAGGCACAACCCGATACTTGCCCCACCAAGTCTTGCACGCCTGGTGACTGACCTGGATACCCTTTGCAACGAGCGCCTGATGCAAATAATACGGGCTCTCGCAGTCGGCCAAGGGAGGCCGCGACAGCTCCGGGCCATACTGCTCGTCAAGGGCTTTCGCCGTCAAAGCCATGGACCATCCAAGAACACAGGCGATACCTTGATCCGAGATGGCTACGGATGTGCCAGTGATCAGTCGGAGGCTTCCTGGGGCCGCTTGGGGTCCTCTTGGGGAAGGGGGGAAGCCTCCTGGCGCCGCTTGGGGTCCTCTTGAGGGGCTTTGGGGGGCTTCTTGGAAGCATCTTGGGGCCTCTTGGGGGCTTATTGGGTCCTCACGGCGGGCTCTTGGGGCCTCTTGAAGGCCTCCTGGGGCAACCTATGGCGCAACCAGTAGGGGGACGTTTTATTCTCGGCGGCCGAGGGCGCAACCTATGACGCAACCAATAGGGGGGCGTTTTATTCTCGGCGGCCGAGGGCGCAACCTATGGCGCAACCGCAAGGGATTCTGGCCCCTGGCAGGCGCGCGAACCCCGTTGCAAGAGCGTGCGAAAGTAGCTCGCGCGAGCTCATGTAACATAAATGTTGGAAAACCATTGGTTTTTTTAGGATTCGGACAGCGCGCGCGGGTGGAAATTTTGAAAAGTCGTGCAGGTGTTTTTCGAGGACCTACGGTGCGATTCGTGTGATTTTATGATGCGCGGTGCTAAAATTCTTAAGAACCCAATGGTTTTTGGAGATTTCGGCGTGCGCGCGCGAAGAAAAAACGAATGTGTCCCGCATGGTATTATTTGACAGGGATGATGGCCCTGGCAGGTGCGCAACCGTTGTCGCAGAAGTTCGAAAAAGTTGCTCGCAAAAGCCCGTTTGACAGAAATGTTTAAAAAGTGTTGGGTTTCCTACGAATCCGCAAGAGCGCGCGGGATGAGATTTTGACATTTTTTTGTTGAAAAACCATTGGTTTTTTGATGTTTTTATGTTAAAATCGCTCCGAACACTAAGCTTTTGGAAGGATTTCGTCTTGCGCGCGCGAATGTCCACTTTACCTTATTTTTTGCAAGGGATTCTTGAAATTTGATTATATTAGAACAAGAAATGTCATTTTATAATGTTTTTTGCAAGGGAAAACGGATTACAACAAAACAACCGGATCTTGATCACCTCGAATTACCTGAGGCTTCCTCACGAAAATGATGAAAACGTGGCTGCGGCCTAGGCGCGGCGGGGGGGGCGCGCACCAGGGGGCCCAACAATAATTATTCTTTAGAATTAATAATGTCCAACAGCAATCACAACAACAATCATGGTAAGACTGTTCGCCCTTACCTGCTCGAGTGTCCAAGAACGCGTATTTCCCAAACCCTCTCCGTCTTCGATCGAACCCCTTTTGGGGGGTATACCTTTCTTCCCTGCAGGCCAGGCCCCGGCAAGCGGCGGGGCGGCCGCGGACCGTCGGCCTGGCCAGCGGCAGCGCTGATCGGCGGGGCGGCCGCGGACCGTCGACCCGACCCCAAGAGGGACGGACAGGGGACCGACCACGACGACGACGACGACGACGACGTCAACGACGACGACGACGTCGACGACGAGCGAAAGCGAGAGCGAGAGAGATCGACCGCAGGGCCACAAGGGCACGAAGTAGGCCACGAAGGGCGACAGCGAGGACACGAAGGGAATGCGTATGGGGCCACGAAGAGCGCGAACGAGCGGTGGCCACGAAGGGCAGATAATAGGGGGCCACAGAAGGCAACGATGGGGCCACTGAGGGTAGCAAGTGGGCCACGTAAAACAATGAGGGGCCACAAACAGCGACAGCGGGGCCACGAAGGGCATGCCCATGGGGCCGCCACGGGCGCGAACGAGCGGGGGCCACGAAGGGCATACGTATACTGGGCCGAGGAGGGCAAGGACGGGGCCACTGAGGGCAGCAACGGGGCCACGAAGGGCAGCGAGGGGAACACGAAGGGCGACAGGGGGGCCACGAAGGGCATGCATATGGGGCCACCACGGACGCGAACGAGCGGGGGCCACGAAGGGCTTACAGATATAGAGCCACGAAGGTCAGCGAGGGAGCCACGAAGGGATTCAACGGGGCCACGAAGGGCAGCGAGGGGGCCACGAAGGGATGCAACGGGGCCACGAAGGGCAGCGAGGGGGCCACGAAGGGCTGCAACGGGGCCACGAAGAGCTGCAACGGGGCCCGAAGGGCAGCGATGGGGCCACGAAGGGCTGCGAGGGGGCCACGAAGGGCTGCAACGGAGGCCACGAGGGGCTGCATCGTGGCCACGAAGGGCAGCGAGGGGGGCACGAAGGGCTGCAACGGGGCCACGAAACAAAGCGAGGGGGCCACGAAGGGCTGCAACGGAGGCCACGAGGGGCTGCATCGTGGCCACGAGGGGCAGCGAGGGGGGCACGAAGGGCTGCAACGGGGCCACGAAACAAAGCGAGGGGGCCACGAAGGGCTGCAACGGGGCCACGAAGGGCAGCGAGATGCCGATTCCTAAGTAATCTGTGCAGGAGTCCTTAGCGTGAGCGCGACTCCTGGGTGCCTGGGTGTCGGGAGCGCGGCGCTGGAGTAGATTGCAAGAGATTCCAACACAAGGGCGCTATTCTTCATTAAATTGCAAGCAGTCTCCAGCGAGAGCGCGACTCCAGAACGCCGGGAGAGCGATACTTAAACAAATTGTAAGGTAGTCCAAAGCGAGAGCGCGATTCCAGAATAACATGCGAGGAAACCTCGGGCGGGAGCGGGGGTCCTGACTAAATTGTGAGGACGTCTCAGGCGGGAGCCGTTGTTGTTGTTGTTGTAACCTGGGGGCCAGGGGCCCCGTTTGAGCCTCAAGACTTTCCCTGGTAAAAAAAACAGGGTGCGAGCGTCGAGGGTGCGTGCTTGAGAAAAAAGTATGCACCGATGGGGGGATCAACAATAATTATTCTTCAGAAATGAGTGTTCAACAACAACAATAACAACGTCAACAGCAACAACAACACCAACACCAAAAACAACAGCGTCAACAACAACAACAACCACAGCAACAACAACGCAACAAGCAGAATCCCCACCACGGATCCCCACTTCAACCACGTACCCAGGGACAATGAATGACCGTTCGGCTTCCTCACTCTGACGATTATGCATACTACTTTCGGGGATGGACAGACCCCGTTTTAGTAAACGTGGTTGTGTGAAAACGACCTCGGGCCCAAACCTGGCGGGCACAAGCCTGGAAAATAACGGCCGCGGCGCTCTCTCGAGAACCGAAAACGGACAACTCACCAGTCGACGTGTCAGGGTGGGGGTTCTGTCCACCCCCGATGCTTTCCTCCTCGATGCAGCATATGTCGGTCCCCTTCGGTCCGACCCCCCCCCCTCCGGTGTGACACGAGAGGCTCGCCGCGCCAGCAGAGGCACGGCCTGCGGTGGCGAGCCCCCCGCCGCTGGTGCGCGGCCCTACTTCTCCATCTTCTGGATGAGGTCCTGGAACTTTGAGATCTGCTCCATGAAGACGTCGGGAGAAGAAAACGCGGCACGAGCACAAACTCTCGCAGGTCCACCCGATCTTCTCGGCTCGGCGACAGACCCCCTGGCGCGTGGAGCGCGCCAGGGGCGGCGCCGCAAGCGCCGCCTCGGGGGGGCCCGGATCCGCATGCTGGCCCCGAACTTCGCGCGAACCCCCGAACGGTTGTGCCTGTGCCGCTTTTCCTTCGTCGAGATGTCCGAGTGGGCCAGCTCGGTCTTCTGGGCGTTGATGTGGACCATGTCGCCGTCCAGGTAGAACTCGACCTCGCTGCAGAGCTCACGCTCGCCGTCGAGGGGGCGCCCCTTCTGCCTCACCTGCTGCCGCGTCTTGTTCATCACGCACATGAGCTGGTCCCGCAGGCCCTCCTCGTTTCATGTTGCTACCACCGCACTTGAGGGCCACATCCCCCAAACAATTTCAAGCACCCCGAAAAGTATCGAAATAGTGCCGGCCCGACACGCTGGCAAAGTGCCGAGCGAATATCGCCTCCCAGGGCCCGCCCGTCAGAACCGTCCAGTTTTGATGCTTCCTTGGTGCTCGAGAATATTTCTGGTGATCAGGGCGCAAGCAATTTGGAACATCCTAATCCTCGTCCATCTCGCAGAGCTGAGCCAGCTTTGACGTCTGCAGCGAGGTGTAGAGCTTCATGTAGGAGCTGATGCGCGGGAGCAGGTGCTGCTGCTTCACGTCCTGGAGGAACAGGTGCAGCTGACGCTCGTGGGCCTCGTTGAACTTGAAGGTGCCCTCGCCGAGGTCGCTCGGCACGGCGGCGGAGACGAACTTGGGGCAGGCGTAGGAGAAGAGCTCCTCGAAGCAATTCGCCTCGCCCCTTTGCAGTCGCGCGTGCTTCTCGGGGAAGCGGTCCCCGATCTGCTTGTTGATGGACTCGTCGAGCGGCTGGGGGCACAGCGCCGTGCAGATAAGGAGCAATGAGTACATCTGCTCTTCCTTCTTCCTCATCTGGTCGTACTGGTAAGAAGACTGATTCACTCCGGATGTCTTCGACAGCCACACGATGACGTCCGCGAAGGTGCGGATGGCGTCCTTGTAGCGCCGCATCATCAGGTACGCGAAGCCCATGTAGTAGTGCAGGGAGACGTGGCACGCGGGAATCTTGTAGAACAGGGGCACCTCCTGGTGGAAGTCGATATGGTCGATGGTCTGCATGGCGGAGTGGTAGTCCCCCAGCAGGCTGTGCATGCGGAGCATCTGCATCAGCCCGTAATAGCCGAACAACCGGGCCGACGGATCCTTGTACGCGAGGCCCTTCTTGTTCTCCGAGTCAGGATTCTTCAAGAACTCCTCGATCTTTGAGGCGTTGATGAGCTGCTGCAGATAAGAAAGAACTGCGGGAGTCTCGAAGACGTTGGGGTTTGCCCTGAGAAGCAGGATGTCCGACTTCTGATTCTTCGCTTCCAGGTTGATCGTCTTGTTCCTGAAATTGCAGTAGGTCTGGTAGTGGTAAACGAACTCATCGAGGATATCCCAGATCCACTGGGGAGGGAGCGCGACGGTCAGCTCGTCACCTTCCTCCAGATCAGAGATGAGCAGCTCGATCAGCTTGCAATAGTTCTCCCACGAACCTCTGCGGTCCTCGAAGGTGGGCTGGAGGCGGGAATAGACGTGCCGGTAGTACAGCTCCTTGTAGAGGATGAGGAACAGAGGGTGGTCCGAAATCTGGTCTCTCACAGCATCCGCCGCGGGCCACCTACCGTCCTCGTGCTTGTTCCTGGGCGCCTTCGACAAGCCAAAACATACCCCTAATCATCTGGGAGGGGGCATGATTTAGAAGGGCCAAACACATTCGGGATAGCGGGTTCTTTTTAACAGATGCCCCAGGCGAAGCCACCACACGTGTTTACGGATCAGGGGTTAGGCCACGAGTTCACTGTGTTATTAGGGTTAGGGGTTGTATTATGTTTAATGGGCCTTGTAGTGCTTCTCGCTCAGCTTGTTGAAATCCTCCTCGTACAGCTTGTTGATGTCGGGGATGTTGCGGGTCTCCAGGCTGTCCTTCAGCTTGCCCAGGAAATGGTCCACGGCGTCGGGGATGACGACCTGTCGCTGCGGCAGGTCGATGTCGCTGGCCCCGCTGCGGTTGCCGTCGTCGCTGCGATCGTCCGCCATTGCTGCCAGACGCGGCGCGGGGGAGGGGGGCGGGGGGGGAGGAGAACGGGGACCATGACAGAGACGGAACGCGGAAACGACGTGCCGATCTTGGGCATCGTCCATCTCTGCCAGCGGCAATTCGTGGATCATCCTCGAGAATCGGCGACGGAAGACAAGGACCATGACCAAGGTCTGCGTCGACAAGATCCCACGGCATATTGGTCATGGTCGGCGTGCTCCTTCCCTTGAGGGAGGGCTGCTCTGCGCGCGGACCCCTGCAAGACCAAGCAGCCTGAGCCAATTCGGCTAAGTACGGAAGGCGAGGACCGCCAGGACGAGGCACAGGCTGAGCGCAAGCGGGGGAGGGGCAGATCCCGCGACCCTTGGAGGGCACGTGCTGAGGTAGAACGTGCACACTTGGGGGGGAGGGGATGCGGAGGAAGGTAAGGGTCTGCGGCAGCTCATGGGAACCTACCATCCCATCCCATCTTGCTGGCTCTTACAATTCGACGCTGGGTCGACGCCAGATCGACGCTAATCGATGCTAGATCGACGAGATGCGACACTAACCATGCACTTCCTGAGCAATTACCAGACGCTAGCGCAGGCCTTCGCACTCTAGAATCTGAATTGCGCACTCTAGTACAAGGCTCCCAGGATGTGGTACCGAAGCAAGGCGAGACTGCTGCTGCCCACTCGGCTTACCCCCGTCTGCCCCGCCGCGCCGCTGCCCGCGTCCGGTCTGCAACGAACCACGTCGCACCCCATGTCAGGACCCGTGCCGGATCCGCATCGCACTCGCGCCAGACGCGCGGCGGGCACGAGGAGGAGGCGGCCGTTTCACAGAGCAGGCGAGGCCCTCCGAGGATGCGGCGCGGGGAGGAGCACGGGCGGGGCAGGAGCCGCGCAGCCCAGAGGTGGGCGGCGGCCCTCCCGGCCAGCCTCGGGGGACCGTCGCCGTCGTCCGACCCCTCTCCCACCGTGCGGGGCCAAGCATCGGAGGCCACCATCGGTACGCCTACGCCGATCCTGGCGGAGATGGGCGACTGGGGTTCGGTGCGTGCCCCCTTGGGCCCATTCCCCCCCCAACGTGTCCATGATGGTGGATTGGTCAGCGCTGTGGGCTCGCCCATGGGGGCATCCTGCCCTGCTCGGCTGAGCGCCTCGTGCCGGGGGGGTCAGCATGAGCGGCGCCCGAGAAGACGTGGCGCGAAGGGGGGGGAGGGCTCACTGAGAAGGCGGCGGGGCGTCTGCGAAGGCAGGAAAGCTCCCTGGAGACCCGCCAAGATGCCTTCTTGGAAGCCTGCGGGGCCTGCTCGGAGGGCGCTGCCTCCTAAGCGGGGGGCCGTCCCCCTCGCGGCGCTCGTGCGTGGACGCCGCTGGCAGTAGCGGGGGGCTGGCGAGCCAGCTCACGGAGCAGATCTCGCGACCATCATCTCGATGTCCCCCCTTCGCCCAGCCCGAGAGGAGGGGACGGAGAAGGAGGCGCCCGTTGAACTGCCCCACCGCTATGCTGGCCAATGTTTTGCTCGTGCGCTGGCGACGAGCCTGCTCAGCCCCTGACAGGATTAAATCAGCAACACGTCGGCAAATCGAATCGAATCAGCATGTGTGTCGGATCCCGCTGCGTCGGCACATAATCGAGTTCGGATGGAACTGGCTGTGCCAAGACGCACAACACACCCATGCAAGCATCAAGACGCATCGGATCGCCGGGACATCGAGATCGAATAAGATCGAGTCACGCAAGCGATGTCGAATCGGATCGATCGGATCAAGCTGACCCTGCTCTGGTGTCTGGGTCCACCCAGCAGTTGATCAATATATGCATTGCAATGTAGTTGGAACAAACACCGCGGCCCAATCAATGTTTACAACACGTGGTGTGCAATCTCCGATGTGCCATCGTGCCGTGCATGTGGACCGTTGTGTGTGGAGCAGGCGCTGTGACGCAACATGTGTGGTGGAATCTATGCAGTGTGATCTATGTTGTGCAACATTCGCTGTGCAATGCGTGGTGCAACTTACGCGGTGCAACACATTGTTGCGCAACCAATAAACGGCAATATGGTGTGCGATCGATGATGAACGCTCAATTGGTGGTGCAATATGGTGTGCAACCGATAAGCGGCAATACGGTGGTGCAATTAATTCGCCTGCTCCGCGCGCAACCACTTCCCATGCTCGTGCAAACAGACAACCCACCCACCCGCAAGTCGATTGCAAAACCCATGCGGCAGCGATTGCAATGGCTGCTTGGCGCTGGATGGCGCATCGCCGCGGTCGCTCTGCGCTCGCAAGTTCGCACGCAGAGCGACAAACCAGTCTGGCCCGACCGGCGCGGCCTCGGTGGCGCTGACCGCTGGGCACTTCCCAGCGCGTCTTGCACGTCGTGCTGACGCTCGGGCGCGTCACTGCGAGTCTGCGCTTTGGGCGGACGTGGTACCACAGCGACGTCGGCAATGCCACTCACGATGATGATAGTAGAGATGCTTGTGGCAACGCTGACACTGACGACGGCAGAGTCAAATGCGGCCCCATGCTGGTCAAACAGATGACGATGATGGTGTGCCACGGGTCGGCGACGAAGGTCGTGGATGAAATTTCGGCATGCATCTATTTGACAAGGGTCGTGTACCCCCAGCAAGCGCACAAGAGCGTTCGAAGAATTCGACACGCGCGCACAGAAACCAATGTTTGGTAGCCTTTGGTGACAATATTGAAAAACCGATGGCTCCCTTGCGCGAATTGTATTATTTGACGGGAGTTGCGGGGGGGGGGGGCGATACCGGATGGGCTGCGATGGCATAAGTTCGTCGAACGAGGGGGCAGAATCATATCCGAAATTGTACCAGTCGCAACTGACCGGTTAAGTCCAGCCTCGGTCAGGTGGTGGAATCTCTTCTCTCTCAGACAGGAGAACCTGTGTGGCGCAATCGCTGCACAACAGTCTGCGTGGCGCCAGTCTATGTTGTGCAGTTCGTGTGTGCTCACAATGAATGGCCCACTCCGCTGCTGACGCAATCATCCCACCCATCCACCCGCACCTTGGCTTGCAAAGCCCATGCGACGGCGATTGGGACGATTGCTTGGCAATGACGGGCACATAGCTGCGGCCGCGCTGGCAGCGGTGGCGCTGACTGCTGCGGACGCCCCAGCGCGTCTCGCAGGCCAAGCTGACGCGCGAGCATTCGCGTGCCCGTCGGCGATTCGGGCCGTCGGGCTATCATGGCAGCGCCATCAAAAGCACGCACGATGATTGCAGCGATGTTTGTGGCGACGAAGACGATGACGACCGCAAGCTTGTGACGGCGCCGATGCTGATCGCGCCGATGACAATGATGGTGTCCACGCGTCGGTGATGAAGGTGGTGCAAAAATCCACATGCGCGCGGGGCCCACGGGCGCGGGTGGCCCGCGCGGCATTATTCGATAGGGGCCGTGTCTACCCCAACACGCGCGCCAGGGCCTTCGAATGACTCCGACATGCTCGCGCGAGACGCACGACTGGTCGAATTTGAAGATATTGAGCACCCATTGTTTTCCCAAGAATTCGGAAGAACGCACACGCAAACCTTCTTTTCGAACAATCATGCCCCGGAGCCCGTGTTATGAACACATTTCCAGGATACTCGGTCTTGAATTCCTTGCGACGCCTGGAAGTTTTGAAGGGTTGCGGGACATGCGTGCCACAACGAACGCGCATGCACAGAGTCCCTCTTTACTCCTGCAACTGATACTTGGAACTAGATGGATGTCGATCGCGTGCGCGCGCATATTGCTTGGTGCGAAAGGAACGGGGGTCTTTACCTGCTGGGCCGGGATCGAATGATTTCAAAATGTAAATTCACGATGGGGCACGACCATACATAACCTGCACGCTCCCAGGGTGAACCGTTACGTAAGCCCTTGGGAGGGTGGTGGATTTAATTTTCTCAGAGGCAGGAAAGTCCACGTTGTGCATCCTATGTGGTGCAATTTGCGTGGTGTAACCGATGCGGAAAAGTCGAGATGGTGCAATATGCCCGGTGCAACGCACGCTGTGCAATATATGTTGCGCAGTGAGTGGTGTGCAATCCACGTGGTCCAATCTACGTGGCGCAACCGATCAAGGAGTATTAATTAGCCTTTTCCGCGCGTGACCACCTCCGACGCTCGCGCAAACATCCCAGCCTCCCACAGGCAACGCGGTTGCAAAACCCACACAGAGGCGATTGCGATGCCTGTTTGGCGCTGGCTGCCGCATCGCTGCAGCCGCGCTAGGCCCGCGCGCAGAACAACCAGCTAGTCTGGCGCGACCGGCGCGGCCACGGTGGCGCTGGATGCTGGGCAATTCCCTCCGCGTCCTGCACGCCGCGATGACGCTCGGGCACGTCAGTGCGAGTTGGTGCCTCGAGCGGGCGCGGTACACTGGCGACGTCGACGTTGGCAGACCCGACGATGATAGCCGCGGCGCTGGTGACGGCGATGACGACGACGACGGCTAGGACAGAGACAGATCGGATGCTGATCTTGCCGAAGACGATGATGGCGTCTTCGTGTCGGCAATGGAGGTCGCGAAACAGATTCCGTGATGCCCGCGCGGCCGACGCGGGCGAGCGGACTGCATAGTGTCATTTGAAATGGGTCGCGCCCCCCACACCGCCCCCCACCCCGCAGCGCGCGAGCGGGCCTTCGAATGATTCCGACACGCGCGCGCAAAAGGCATGTTTGGTCGCATTTGATTAGAGTGTTGTTACGAACTCGCAAGAGCGAGTGCGCCGACTGATTTTAATAGTCTTGGAGCAAAACGACCGGTTGCTGGATATGTTTCTGGGAAGCTCTGTTCGCTTCCATGCGGAACGTTTGTCTTCGAGAATCCTGGCATGCGCGCGACGACGGGCGCGCGTGCACTTCGTCATTTGTTGAAGAGGGCCCTTGACAACTGACGACGTGTGAGAATGAGCGAATGTGTTCAAACGGAATTGTTTTCACAACGGTCCGGGAAGAGGGCGAGGCCAGCTGAGCTGGGACGGCAAG